CACAAAATTCTTAAAGTTGTCCGTTCCTGAAAGAATTGATTTGGTCAACAGATCCAATTTATGTGTAAATTGTTTAAATCGTGGGCATCAGTTGAATGATTGTAATTTCGGTGATTGCAAAAAATTCACTGTCAAGCATCATTCCCTTCTACATGTTACTCAATCAGAGGCCAATTCTAATACACAAGCTCAACAGTATTTGGTTTCTTTCAATTTAAGTTCAAAACAAGTACTTTTATCAACATTCTTGTTGGAGGTAATTGATACAAAGGGAAATCGTTAAGAATGCAGAGCACTTTTAGACCCAGGGAGTCAGTCTAACTTCATTAATTCAGATTTCTGTCAAAAACTTGGATTATCACTTAATCCCATTAATATTACAATTTCAGGGGCTTCATGGTAGAATCCATTCCATTTGTAAAATTCAAATATGTTCAAAAAATACTCCATCTATAGCTCTTCTTGATTGTTACGGAAATATGTGATGTTGTTCTCGAATCTCCTGTAGATTTTCAGTCTCTTTCAATACCTAAATGCCATAAATTGGCAGATCCTCAATTTCATAATCCCAAACCAGTTGATTTACTGATAGGTTCAGATTTATTTTGGGAATCATTATGTATAGGTCAAATCCGTCTCAAACCTACAGGTCCCTTTCTTCATAAGACCAAGTTTGGATGGATAGTCGGTGGACCACTTATAAAAGGTGTTTCGTCGAATAGCTCAAACTCATTTACAAAATTTAACTATACAAAGTCAGCTTTCTCGCTTCTGGGAAATAGAGGAGTGTATAGATTTAATTCATTCCAGATGAGAAAAAGTTGTGAAGAATGTTTTTATTTCAACTCATTATAGAGACCAGGAACGCCGTTTCGTAGTTCAATTCCTTTAAAGAACCTGTTTCTAAATTAGGTGATTAGTAATGTAAGATGTATCGACAAGTTTTGATTAAACCTTCACAGAGAAATCTTCAACAGATTCTTTGGAGAGAAAAACCTTCAGATTCTCTCACAGAGTTTCAATTAAGTAAATACTGTCCCATATGGCACTTCTTCGGTTTCCTACTTGGCTATCAGATCTTTGTTTCAACTAGCTTTAGAAAATATCAATACTTATCCAGCCGCCTCTAAGGTCATCCAAACTGACTTTTATGTTGAAGATTTCCTTACAGGATCTGATTCATTAACAGATTTAACTAATATTTGCAAAGAAATATCATCAATTCTTAAAAGTGGTCGTGTTGAACTTCGTAAGTGGATCTCTAATGAACCTCAAGTTCTTAAGTCAGGTTACAGATTCCAATTCAGAACTAAATACATTAAATTTAGGTTCAAAGGAACATACGAAAATGTTGGGCATATTTTGGTCATCAATTTCAGATGTAGGTATACTAACATACAATTCCGAGATTATAGATAATCCTTCAAAAAGGGTCACAAAACGTATAATTCTCTCTAGCATTTCACAAATTTTTAATCCATTAGGATTACTAAGTCCCTGCGTTATCACTGCAAAAATTCTACTGCAAAAACTATGGTTAGACCGGTTATTTTGGGACGAGTCCGTTCCTGCATCTATTTATACACTTTGGATGACGTTACGGGATGAACTTAAACATATCAATCATTTCACAATACCTACACATGTCAGATGCATCGATCCTGTTCATACTGAACTCCATACCTTTTCTGATGCTAGTGAAAAGACATATGATTCCTCTACAT